CAAGAACGCCTCGAAACAAACCCTGTGTGTGTGTGTGTGTGTGTGTGTGTGTGTGTGTGTGTGTGTGTGTGTGTGTGTGTGAGCGTGTATTTGCAGTGACTTGCAGCGACTGCATCCACCTCGAGTTATGCAACAGACCTTTTACTGATGCAGACACACACACACACACACACACACACACACACACACACACACACACACACACACACACACACACACACACACACACTGATGAAGACCCTGAGATGAGATTGAAAGAACAAGTTTGTCTAATCATCTCCTTCGATTCCTCCTTTTCCTTCATCTCCTCCTCGTCATAATCTCCCCCTTCTCAACATGAATCAACTTCTCCTCCTTTAATCCACCTCCTTTTCTCCCCCTCACCCTGCATCCCTCCCCTTCCCCCCCCTCGTCTCTCTTCACCTCCGTAACTTTTTCTGACCGTTTCTCAACTCCACTTCCTCATCATGTCCTCCCTCCTTTCCTCCTCACTCCTCAGCATCACCTCCTCCTCCTCCTGCTCACACACACACACACACACACACACACACACACACACACACACACACACACACACACACACACACACACACACACACACACACACACACACACACACACACACACACAGAGAGACTCCATTAGCTGGGAGGACTGGCTGCCTGGAAAAGAGACCACTGACTTACATGACAGAGAAAAATAGAGAGAGAGAGAGAGAGAGAGAGAGAGAGAGAGAGAGAGAGAGAGAGAGAGGTGCAAGATGGGAGTTAAATAAGTAAGGAGGAGGGCTGCAGGGTCAGCAGCTCTCACACACACACACACACACACACACACACACACACACACACACACACACACACACACACACACACACACACACACACACACACACACACACACACACACACACACACACACACACACACACACACACACACACACACACACAGAGGTGAGTCATGCTGTTGAATAAAACACATTGGACAGACGAAGGAAACACACACACAAGAAATGACACGACATCCTCTTATTAAAGGGAAAGTTGAGCAGTTCAACACATCCTGTATTCTGTGGTCAGTGGGTTATAGTGCCCTCTCCTGTAGTACAAACACCTTATATTGGTTTTAGTGCATGTAAATGGTCTGCAAAGGCTGAAATCCCTGTGTTCCCTCCAGAGGGAGTTTCTCTCTCACACACAGGCGGAAAATCAGTTTAAAGTGGAGCTATCATGCTATATTTGAATAATATAGTGTAGGACCATACCTATATAAGGCATATTTATACTTTTTCTTTTTCAAAATACCAAACAGATCATGCATTTTAGCCATGCCTCATTTCACTCAATTTGACCATTTCTAGCTCTGTTTTTGCAAGGGCAGATTCAGTGAGAACAGCACCACCTACAGGCCTGGCATATGTACTACAGCGTCTCCAGCGCTTTAGAACGGCAATGGCCGTGTCTGTCTCCTCCTGATTGGTGGAGTTGGCCCAATAGCCGTAGCGCCACCGTCCTGACGTCAGGACAGTGTTCAAATCTGGATCAGTTTTTATCAGATCCGTTGCAGCCCCTTTTTTAGAGATTTGGGTATGGAGGAAAATAGAGAGGGTTGTGTTTTCTGACACTTGGTGAGTTCCCTGGAACACCGGGGACACATGTTCATGTAGAAAAGACGTACACAAGTGCATTTTGCATGATAGGTCCCCTTTAACTTCCAAATAAAAAAATGTTTATCATCATCTTTCTGTAATGGCCAAGCTAGGACATCCCTACAGTAGCTTTTCTTAGAAAGTAAATATTAGGGATGCTCCGATCGATCAGCCGCCGATCGATATCGGCCGATATTCACTCTCTGCCGATCGATCGGTGCTCTCTATAAATGCCGATCAGGAGAGCCGATCACATGACGTAAAACACATGACACTTTTCTCTGTGCGCGGCAAAACAAGCTCGCCAAAATGGCTTCACCGGTCTGCCAGTATTTTAAGGTGTCTGAAAAAGACAGTAAAATAGCGGTGCAACGTGTGTGAAGCAGAAACCCTGCAGCTCCACCTGCTGTGATGGACCGGTGAGCGGAGCAGAACACACACTGAGAGTTAGACCTAACACACTTAGCTATTTGATCTACCTCTGGAGCAAGCTACACTAGTTATACATATATTTATTCTTCACTGTCGGGTCACTCATTACTGGATCAGTGAGCTGCAGGAGATACTGACGGGCTGTCAGGAGAGAGAGAGGGGGGAGAGGAAAGAGAGAGAGAGGAGAGAGAGAGGAGAGAGAGAGGAGAGAGAGAGAGAGAAGGGAGAGAGAGGAGGAGGAGAGAGAAGAGAGAGAGAGAGAGAGAGAGAGAGAGAGAGAGAGAGAGAGAGCCCTCTCATTTCTCCGGTGTTCTCCAAAGTTAATGTAAACTTGAATAATGCACTTCATTTGAATGTAATAATGATGTTGGTTGTTGTTTGTGGAAGCTCCAGTAAATGAGCATTAACTGAGTTTTAAACATTACTTTAAATGGAAGATCCCCATATCGGCCCACTCAGTATCGGCCGATACTGATTCCGGCGATCGGCCCCAAAATGGGCGATCGGAGCATCCCTAGTAAAATAAGTAACTCTTCCTTTTGTGCCACTGAAGCAGGATGTTAGGGAAACGTCGACACAATGGAGGACGATGTTATTCACAACATCCTGAAATAATCTGAGAGTTTAACGCCTCTGCACAGACGAAGATAAACTCTCCGTGCGGTGTGGATGTGTCGGATCTATTCTGGTCTATTCTGCAGCAGCTTGTACCTTCAGATCAACAAGGGAAGACAGTGCCTTTGTACCTGCAGAGACTAAGGACTCACCTGAACACTGAACCACAGAAACACAAAGGAGACGGGGAGAAACACCTTTCAACAGGTACTGGGAACACTTTCCAAACAGCTGCTCTGAACACAACAGCAACACAAGATAGCAATGTGTTTACTAGCATAAAGTTGTTGTAGTGTCTGCCTGTTATCTATTGAACTCAAGGTTCAGGAAAAAGCACATTTACATTGAAAAATGTATTCAATTTTTTTAAATCTTTAGGTTTCTGACTTTCATGCGCCAAAGCAAGCGAACTGAAGACTTCATGTGTCGGTTGGGTGTTTATAGGTTTGTAATAATGTTCTCTTGTATCCTTTCTTTTAATATATGTTTGTATTTCTTCAACGACAAAGAGCCTTCATGGCTAAATCTGGAACATTTACATGATGAACTTGATTAATGTGCATTGTCCCTTCCTGAATTAATAAACACAAATTAGCGTAGCCTTGGAGAAATTGTAAAAGTTTCCCCCTGCTTCCAGCGAGACTCAACACATATAAGAAGTCAAAGAGGGGACGTTTGGTTGGATTCAGTCTGTTGGGAAAACACTGAATGTCCTCTTCCAATATCAGAGCAACATGCTAACAAAGGTATCCCAACTGTAGCTGTGAACATGACAGGATGTATGATTACCTAGAAGAGCATCAGGACTGTTTGAGGCATATGATAGCTATGTGATTAACATGATGATTCAGCCTCTATGGAGATAGACATATGACAAGCATGCTCATTTCTGACGTGGAGCTAATCTGAAGTAAACATTGAATACTGCTTTCTATTCCTCCATCTTGTGACTGTGTAACTCCCTCTCTTGGATATCAGCATGTGAAGGACACTGTTCAGGAACTAGTTGATGCTCTGTATGTGATGACTACTTCCAGATTTTGAGAAAAAGTCAGATTTTTGAGGAAAAGTTAGAATTTTGAGATTTTTTGAAAAAGTCAGAATTTTGAGGGGAAAGTCAGATTTTGAGAAAAAGTCAGATTTTTGAGGAAAAGTTAGAATTTTGAGGGAAAAGTCAGATTTGAGAAAAAGTCAGATTTTGAGAAAAAGTCAGAAATGTTTGAGAACAAGTTTTGAGTTTTGAGAAAAAGGTCATAATTTTGAGAACAGTTTTTAATTTTGAGGAAAAAGTCATAATATTTAGGAACAATTCATAATTTTGGGAAGGAAAAAAGTCATAATTTTGAGGAAAAAAGTCATAATTTTGAGAAAAAGTCATAATTTGAGAAAAAAAGTCATAATTTTGGGAAAAAGTCATAATTTTGAGGAAAAAAGTCATAATTTGAGAAAAAGTCATAATTTTGAGAAAAAAAGGAGTCATAATTTTGGGAAAAAGTCATAATTTTGAGGAAAAAAGTCATAATATGGGAGAAAAAAGTCATAATTTTGAGATTTGAGAAAAAGTCATAATTTGGAGGAAAAAGTCATAATTTGTAGAAAAAGTCATAATTTGGAGAAAAAGTCATAATGTGGAGAAAAAGTCATAATTTTGAGATGTTGAGAAAAAGTCATAATTTTGAGGAAAAAGTCATAATTTGAGGAAAAAGTCATAATTTGGAGGAAAAAGTCATAATTTGTAGAAAAAGTCATAATTTGGAGAAAAAGTCATAATGTGGAGAAAAAGTCATAATTTTGAGATGTTGAGAAAAAGTCATAACTTGGAGGAAAAAGTCATAATTTGTAGAAAAAGTCATAATTTGGAGAAAAAGTCATAATGTGGAGAAAAAGTCATAATTTTGAGATGTTGAGAAAAAGTCATAATTTGGAGGAAAAAGTCATAATTTGTAGAAAAAGTCATAATTTGGAGAAAAAGTCATAATGTGGAGAAAAAGTCATAATTTTGAGATGTTGAGAAAAAGTCATAACTTGGAGGAAAAAGTCATAATTTGGAGGAAAAAGTCATAATTTGGAGAAAAAGTCATAATGTGGAGAAAAAGTCATAATTTTGAGATGTTGAGAAAAAGTCATAATTTTGAGAAAAAGTCATAATTTGGAGGAAAAAGTCATAATTTGGAGAAAAAGTCATAATTTGGAGAAAAAAAGTCAGAATTTTGATATATAAGGTATTCTGTATGTGATGACTACTTCCATTCTGGAGAGGATAATAAATAAGAGTGACGAGTGAGATTTTTCTAACGATATCGTACCTCTGACCAGTATGATGGTGGTCTTCTTGGCGGGGTTCCCCACGTCGTTGGAGCCCAGGCAGGTGTAGGCGCCCCCCGTCCTCCAGGCTGATGGCGGGGGATTGTCAGCGTGCCGCCGTTGACGACGCTCCTCTTCGGGAGATCCTCCCCCCCAGGCCTCACCCACTCTAAGGAGGGAGCGGGGTCTCCGCCTGAACGCCACGCAGACCAGAGTGATGGTCTCCCCCGTGTTCACCACCAGGGGGGTCGTCCAGGAGGAGCTTAACGGAGGGAGGAGCTGGGGGGAGAGGGAGGGAAAAGTTTAAAGTCATTTTATTTCATTGTCAACCATTGATTTGTTCCACACTGATCCCAACACATTGATGAATGACAGCTGGCGCACAACTCATTGGATTCAGGATTTCAGACAGGTTTGTTTCAAGAATGAACTCGGGTGATAAATTAAATTATAGGTAAGAATGGAGAGAAGCAGCTCGAGTGTGCTAGAATTTGAA